GGAGAAATGTAAAGGGATTAGCGAAGAAATAATGAAAAAACTTAATCCTAAAATTAAAATTAAACATCCAGATTATTCCGATGTTGAATTCTCGGATTCTGATCTACCCCCACTTATTTCAGATTATTCCGATGATGAATTCTCTGTTTCTGATTTACCTTCATTTATTCCAGATTCATTAAGGGTATCTCGAAGAGTTATCTTTACCGGTGGACCTAATAGAATGGTTTTAACTAATACATTAAATGTAACAGATCTTATTTCTGCAATTAGAGTATTAGTATCATCAGAATTTACTGATTCAGAACGAATTAAATTATTAAATAGTCTTGCTCGAGCCATGAGTGTAACTCACCCCTACGGGTCTGATCAAGGACTACATCGATCGTGGCAAGGGCTTTAGGCAGATAATTAATTATCCCAACATTAGTTATTTCTGGTATAATCTCATATATTTATTGTATAACAATGGCACGAAGTGCCTACACGAAGTCTTTATTTAACCCATAACAATCAAGCCTCAAAGAGGCGCCTAAAGGCATGATATATTTACATTAAGAATAATAAATTTCTATTGCTTGATACAGACACTAAGTGACTATAAATTTCGAATTTAAATTCATTATTTCTTATACCGTGCTGGTAAACCTTTTTTTGCGCGTTCCAAATCTATGAATGGAAAATATGTGCTTTAGCGCTAGCTCCGCTATAAATATCAGTTCTTAACTATACATAGATATAAGTTTTATCTCGCCTATACATACCTATATTTGTTCTTCTATGATTTTTTAGCTTCACATCATTATTTCCAGAACCTAGCGTTGGAGGAAGATATTCTTGTGATGGCTTATCATCATTATTGTTACCCCAATCCAACTCATAATCAGCGAAAAGAGATCCAAACTTTCGTTTTTGTTTAATCACCGTACTGTGGATATAAAAAACGACGCTGTGGCGAACTCCGGCAACGACTGGCAGATTTCCATGAACCAGGAGGTTTGATCGAAAAGCCACCGCTTGACCTTGCTTAACATGGACGATTAATTTTAATTCTGGAAATGTCAGCTCTCCACCTTCGAAATTCCCAAGTGGACACACCACGCAAAGCGTATTTCGATGATCTTTTAGGTTCCTATGAAACTGGGAGATCGTGTTATAGTTGATACCAACGGTAGGAAAGGCACCGAATGATTTAGGAACGTTTGGCCCGAGATTGAGATTTTTCATCTTGGTATATAGGGTTGGATAGGTATTATGAAAATAATTGTTGACTATATCTGAGAGTGATTGGAGCCCTTGAATTAGTTCCTGAACGCACGCGAGATGTTCTTGGCAATGGCTAGACGCAGTATTGGCAGTAGTGTAAGGTTCGTTGTTGCTATCGGTGAAACTGCAAAAATGTTCTATCATATTACTGGCGAATTGTTTAGACTGATGGGTGGGGTTGTTAAGGGTATGATAATAATAACGGTCAATTACATTCCGTGCATTTTTCGCAACCAGAGGATTGGCGAGATCGAAGAAGTCGACGATTGTTTCCCCAAAAGCATTCTTAAAACATTGCGGTTTAAAGATGTGGCGATAACCTTCAAGATCGATACCGTGCACGACCTTTTTTGTTGTCTCTAGTGCAGTATAGAGTTTATCCTTTGGGTTCTTCTGAAACACTTCACGAATATTATGATTTTCAAGCGGTTTATTCTGAGCTTCTTCGTGTTGATATGCATGCTCAACTTTAAACCAGAGGCGACGGCAATGATCCCGAAACTGTTTTCTGAAATTTGGACCGATGAAGAAACATGCCCAACGTGCGAAGTCTCCCCATATTTTTTTTCGCTCTAAATCGAAACTCATGGACGTAGTAGAATCAGCAGAGTTATTATTACCAAAAATTTCCGACTCCAGAAGACGCATAAAATTTGCAGGTATTACGAAGGTAGTTGATATTGATTGACTGTTTTCGGGTAGTGATTTTTCGCTAACATCATTTCTATATAGTTTATTATAGATAGCATCTGAAAGTATGTCTAACTGGGAATTGGAGAGTATATCGAGTTTTAGTGAATAAGTGTTATGCTTTATAACATGTGAGGGGAATAATCCTTTATTGATTAACTTTTTAACGATTTGTCTTTGTAATCTCTTCTCGAGAAACTTTTCCAGAAATGTAAATTGAGGAGTTATAATATCGATAGGTTCAGAGTTATTAACCGATTTAAGATCGCTGGCTAAGAAATCCTCGGATATCCATAGGGAACGAATATATTCTCGCGATTGATCTTCTGTAGATAGACGCGCCTCCGCTTGGGTTTTATGCTAAAGTAAAAAGGTATTAAAACTAAGTAATTGGTCACGACCCTAACGAAATAAAGTTTTTTCGGTGGGTACAATTAAATCACACTTTGCGATGTAGCTTAGTGGTTTTTAAACCGCGGGAAGTCTTCGCGACCTTTCTCTCCTCACTACGCCTTGCTTAGAGGACAACGACCACACCCGAGAAAAAGAATAGAAGAAATGCCTCAAAAAGACACCCCCTAAAGGGTCAGAAAGAAAAAATATAAAGCGAAGTTTTTTCACACTTAGGGAGGAAACAGTCGGATCCTAGGCCTGCCTCGAAAGGCGATGACTGCCCCTAAACCCCGCTTCATATTATCGTGCAATAAAAAAATATCTTTCTCACGCTTTATCCACTAAAAATACCCATAATCACAATATATCTTTTATACTCACTTTTTTTGGGTCGTAGAATATCTCTGATCTTTCATCGTCTGCTTGATTGTCTTGGTTGTTGATAGAATCGGAATTGGGTGTAGTCGGTCCTTCGTCAATTGATTGGTTAGTGTGTTCCGCAAGCTTTGCTTTCTTTATACGTCGTTGCTCCTTCCTTCGTAAATTTCGTTTGGTGGATTTCGATAACACTGGTTCGTTTCGTTTACTGGTAGACACGTCCATTACTTGCTTAATTTTCGCACGACAGATTGTGAAAAACGTGGAATAAAAAAGTTCGGTGTATTAACTAATAGGTGTGGAAATCAAAAGAAACGCAATTCGACGAGCCGTTAGAATTATACAATCCTAGAGCCGATAGTCCTACTCAAGACGAATAGCGTATACTTCGTAGAAAAAAAAACGTGAGAATGTAAGTAATCGTTGATAATCGGTAGGTATGTATACGACGATTACCCAATCAAGATGAGGCAATCTCCTGTTAATTTCCGATGCGATCCATCCAATCAGAATAATTAAAAAGACGTCAACGATTGAAGGGTTATTAACCAATCGGGATCATTATAGAAGTTCGTGGAACATATATGGCCGAGCGATAGAGATAGTTGATTTATTGATAATGTATTGTACCATATCTGGGATAATCGTTACATAATCTATTTCAGGTGTGAAATCTATTTCGGGATGTACAACTCGATACTCAATCATGTGTCCATGGATCACATTAAAGTGGAGTTCATGCGACGTATAAACTTTTATCCCAATACAAGACACACCACATGACATAATTTATAATCTCACCAACTCGAATCCTTTATTAGCAAAGCCAATATGACCGAACAATAAAAATACATAATAATTTATACAATATCTCTATACTTACCTAATAATTATAGGGTGGAGATGAAACAGTAGGACTTGGGTTAACATTTCGGGGTGGATGAGTATTAGCTTGTTCTAATGCCTGCACTAATAAGCTTTTGTTAACGATCATTATATTTCTTAAGGTTAATAATAAACGAACTAGAGATTAGTGTGCGACGTATGTGGTGTAGTGTTAATGGAATTTCAGAATGGTCTAGGTGGAAATATCTTGGTATACCACCCAAGTCCTTTACCAGAACATTGAGACGCAAGTCCGTACCGGCAATCTGGAGCCCTACGACCCCAAATTGGTTTCTGGCTGGCTACATGATGCACCTATAAAGCTCATCCCATCTAATGTTTCTCTCAGTAATTTTACGTCATCATCCACTTTTTTCGAATTAGTACAGATGATACGTGAAGACTCGACGTACATCAACTCTAAAATCTTTTCATCCCGTTTCAACAACCCCATAATATCAGGCTTCTTTCCCATTCGCTCTTCATCTACTCGTATACTTCGTCTAGCTTTGCTTGCTAGACTCTGGCGCTCTGCCGTACTTAAGCAAACAATATCACCTCCCAAACTCGATCGAAGCAAAGGAATTATAACGTCTGTGACATAGGTACCTTCACTTTGTTCACTGCGAGATGTACTAGTCATAAATGCGGGATTTTTCCATATCTCGCCACTAATGCATAGAATACACCGACATGACGTGGTTAGATAAAAGTGTACTAGTAACATGTGAAAACGTATATCATTTATCAAATTACTTAACAGTGTTCCAAGAATACGTTCGGTTATTTTTATTATCGTACTTTCATCTTCTTTCCACATTTTATCATGGGAAGTATTCCTCATAACCCACGAAGTATTCGAATTGTTAAAATTACTTATAAATTCATTACACTTCGTCGTAACTGAATCGGGGATGGCACATTTCATATTTTCTCGTGGTTCCAAAAAAGTACTCTTCTGTCTACGCCCTAGATTTTTTACCATGAACGAGTCGTCGCTAATAACCATACTCGCTTCGGGATCGCGCCACGTAAGATTCGACACATCTACATTCTCGAGGGTTTGTCTAAGCGAACCATAAAGACTCGTATCCGTTTCCGATGCAGGATGCTAGACATACAATCCTATTAGTTTTGAGAGTAATAACGCTTTATACTATTTTATACTTGCCTCAAGTTTATATTTCAATTTATTAATATTCTCGTCTATTTCTTCTCGAGAACGATTTGGATACAATTCCTTTTCTATATTCAATGCCTTGAGCGCCTTAAGACCTCGAACACTAATGTATCCACTCTCAACCTATGGTAAATGTAAGAGTATGTACCGGTACATTAGTTAATCTCAAAGTTACAAGTTATGTCGTATCTGCCACCACACATGTGCGTTTTCAGAAATTATAGGATGCCATTGTTTTGGTTGGATAGTCACGCACAGTTAGAGAGGAGCAGAAACCCTCTACATCTAGAAGACATAGCTCTTCCGGGCCGGCATTCCCCAACCTTTAGCTATGACATACCAAAACTAAATATCCACATTTACCATACTCATCATTAAATATTAGCTGGAGTTAGCACGGCTGATATCACATAATCTGAATTTTTACCAACCTGGGATAACACTTCCAATACTTTCGTTTTTCGTTCATTACTTTCTATCTTCAACAGTGACGAATTTACCGCACGGTCTATCACTCCTCTTACATACTCGAAAGGGGGTAAAATGTTGTTTTCTATTGCCAGGTAAACTGCGGACGCACCACAAAGACTGTCTAATGGCTCTTCTAATAAAAGTGCTTCAATCTTAGATACTAAATGTGTCATGCTAATAAATAGGTGTTCGGTTAAGTGTAAAAAGGTATTATTATTATGAAATCGCAGGTACAAGTTAAAACGACAAATAACCATAACATAAATGTACTGTCCTTGTAAACGTTTCCTCCGCTCATTTCTAGTCTCATTTAGGTATGGAAATAGTAGATTCAGGGAATGTGGAACTAGAGCGATGCAAGCCCATGAGTATTTACTATGTAAATATGCACAGCGAAAAACTTTTCACATATATCACGAGCTAGACAATCAGATTTGGAATTTATAGTAACGATAGCAGGTCACACGATTATTGCTTTGCAATGGGGCTACATCATGCATGAAATGTTCCACGACCTTCGATTTTCTTCTGTGATATGTGTTGATCCAACATCTGTGTTACGCAATTGATTTTATTACTAGACATATTAATATCGGTATTCCCGAGATATTATGTCCCACAAATTTTTATTTTTTCTATGAGTTATTGCGAAGCAGGCCCGAAAGGGCGATCCAAGGATCATGAGCGAAGCTCTATTGCGAAGCAATGACCCAGAGGGTCTACACTCATGGCTCTTCGAGCCTGGCAAAAATTCAGCGAACATATTCACCAAAACCACGTAATGTTACATAACAAAATAGTGGATAGATTCACATGTATACAGCGATAACTGTACTATTTTTATTATATAAATAAAAAAGATTTATCCTTCCTCTTCATTTATCGATTCCATATTAGAAAATGTTAGGCTATCTCCTACATCATACATACTAACATCACTGTTGTTTTGTGACAAGGGTATATTACCAGAGACAACTACTTCGCGATTAGAAACAACATATCTCTGATTCATTTCTGAAGAATTATTTTGTGATTCATCTGTGGCCTCGTAAGGTGGTGGTTGAAGAGATGATGTTTCAACCGGAGGTAGGTGAACGCCATTATTTTGCTCAGCATCGGGATTGTTTGTATTAATGTTTATTGGATCACGGGGTAAAGATGGATAGGGTGATTGCCTTAGACTCCTCCTACTAGTAATAGATGAACTTCGGTTTATACGTCTAACAGAGGGTCCCGTACTTAATTCATGCTCAACTTCCTCAATAGATGGTGCAGGTGTTATATTTCCCACATCTCTATTTCGCCTACGGTTTGTGGTATTAATAGTACGGATTCTATCAAATTCATCTTCAGGCCTCTTCCAAAAATGCGTACGAAACTCATCAAAGTATTGCGCACCCGTGCTCTTCGATTCCCTGCCATATAATCGCACATCAACTAATTGACGTAAATATTAGTCATAATAGCTAAGATGTAAGCAAAAAAAATAATATACCATACGTACATTGTAATCCCGAACAAGATTCATAAACTTTTCTTTACATTGGTGTCCATTAA